AAAAGCGGAGACAAGGAGAGGCTTGGCCGGCACCCACCCTCCTCTCCAGGCTGCCATTCAGACAGCAGGTGCTGAAACCGGGCACCTTCCTGGACCCTGCACCTTCATTGCCCATTCCCATTCGGGAGGCCAGTGTGGAATTTCATGACCTCTGGCTGGCAGAGAGCCAGCATTCCCAGCAGGTGATCTCTGCCTGCTCTTTCTCCCTGCAGGGTAGGACTGGATGACTCAGAAGTATTTCAAAGTGAACCAGAACCAGAGGAGCTCCCTGGAGGTAAGTGTCTTTGTGGGAGACAACCCCAGTCCTTTTTTTTTTTTTTTCTTTTTTTTTTAACCCCAGTCCATTTTTTGCAGGCACAGGTAGGAAGGTGGTCAGAGGTGGGGTGGGGGTGATGGGAGGGATCCATCAGGGCCAGAAATGTGAGGTTTTGATAAGAACAGATTAAAAATGGAGGAAGAAAGCACCTGGGCCAGGAAGGAAAACAGACTTAAGCAAGTGTAGACTAGCTCACTTGAGCAGAGGTTGCAAACCTGGCTCACTGGGTGACAGGAGGAAGAGAGGGACATTTGGGAGCCTGGGACATTTGCTTCCACCAGGCAGGTAACTAGTGGAGATGAGATGCAGGCAGAAACTGTGTTGGGGAGCACATTGTGCAGGAATCATCAGGGCTGGGGAGGGAGAGCTCAGAGGGCTCACGACAGTTACTGGAATGAAACTGGCAGAGGCAAGAGGGCCCCAACCAATTCTCACTGATAGTTTGTATGTGAAATAGCTTGCTTAGGGTCTTGGGTTTAGGGAGAGATCTCCCTGGGTAAACAACCTGGCTGTGTCCCTTTCTGTTTCTTGTGCTTAGAATGCTTTTCTTCGTAACTTCCGCACCTCCTTCAAGTCTTACCTTGTAATGTAGGCCTTCTTTGACCCCTCCGTTTAGTACTGTAACCAGCACTCCTGATCCTCCAGACCCTGCTCTTGTTTTTCTTTTTTCCTATAGCTTTTCTCACCTCATTTATTTAGGTGATTTACTTATTTTATTTCTCTGTGTCCCTGCACCTGAATTGAAGCTCCATAGGCCAGATATCTTTATTTACTGATGTATGCCAAGAGCCTGGGACAGTACTGGGCCATAGTAGGTGCTCAGTAAACATTGTAGAATGAATCAGCCAATGTTCCCAGCCCCTTAAATCCAAAGCTAGGCATGGGATCAACCCCCACATGCCCTCCCTCCTTCCCTGCCTTACACTGTCCTTCCATCCAAAACAGGTACTGAGCCCCAGCAGAGAGTCACAGGGAAGCACTCGGTCCTGCTCGAGGGCCCCAAGCGTGAGGGCAGCATAGAAGAAAAGGAACTGAGTGCCCTGCCTCACCCTTCCACATCCCTTAATGGAGAGAACAGGGGTGGCAGGACAAGGGACCCCATCGTCCTGCCCCTCCCAGACCCTCTCTTCATGGAAGGACTTGCCGATGCAGCCCTAGAAGATGGTGAGTGCCTCGTTGACCCTGCCATCAGCCCCAGTCCCCCAGTAGCATGACCAGTATGAACTGGCAGGTGTCTGCACCCTCCACATGCCTGAAGATTCTCCCTGGTTGTGCTGGAGGAAAGATGATGCAGAGACACAGTTGTCACCCCCGTGCCCCAGCCTTAGCTAGCTTGCCAGCTCCATCCTGTGATTTCGGAGGCAGGTTCACCAAGTTGGGGGTTGGGAGGGGAGTTAGCAACCCTCCTGCCACCTCTTCCTACCACTGGCTGGGTCCTGTACTAGGGAAGCCACCTCCCTCTTTCCCTTCAGTGGAGAACCTGCGGCACCTGATCCTCTGTGGCCGGCTGCCAGGTCACCCCAGGGAACCACAGGCTGCTGGGGAGCCTGAAGACGACCTGACACCTACACCTTCTGTCGTCAGCATCACCTCTCACCCCTGGGACCCAGGCTCCCCTGGACGAGCTCCCACTGGGGGTGAAGGGGAGAGCACCCAGCTCCCAGGGCCAGAGGGGGGCCAGCCAGAGCAGGAGGACATGGCTCTCTGCTCTCTGGACCACCTACCCCCAAGGACCAGAAATTCTGGGATCTGGGAACCTCCTGAGCTGGATAGGAATCCAGAGGAAGAAGCTCCAAGCACAGAGGCAGCAGGAAGTTACAAAGTTGTGAGAAAAGGTAAAATAAATCGGGGCCTACTGGGGAGACAAATGCCCGGTTTTGCTAGGGTAGAAGCGAGTCTTCCAAAGGCTACTTCCTTCGCCTTATCCTGGAAATCCCATGTGCAGGGGCTCACACTGTGTCATGGGAAGGAGACGTGTTGATGGCGTGCAGAGGCTTTGGGGTTGGGCAGCCAAGGGTCAGAGCCCTATCTCCTAGCTTCATAGCTGTACGACTTTAGAGCAAACTCTCAACCATTTGAACTTCATTCTGGAATATGAGGGTATTACCTATTACCTGGCACTACTCAGCCGTCAGTCAAAGTCTCCACTAATGCCCCACTGGTCTGCCAGTCCTCTTCTCAGAGCCTCAGACAAGTCTGGGAAGATGCTTCTCAGGACAAGTCTGGGAAGATGCTTGGAGAGTTGGGTGTGGCAAGTGAAGGAGGTGGAAGGGAGGGCACCCCAGCTGTGGACATGGTAGATGGCTCTAAGACAAGAAAATCCGAGACTGGCCAGGATGAGCTCTCAGGACAGGTTTGTCTGGCCAGAGCAGTGAGCCCAGGGGAGGGGGCTCCCGGCGCCAGGAGGGGTCCGCTGAAGAAGGAAGGCTGGTTGAGGAGAGCAGCGGGAAAGGGTGCCTGAGGGGTAGGGTGGGATTCAGGTTAGTGCCAGGGGTTTCCGATCCTCCCCTAGTGCGCAGCTTTGTCTCCCTGTCCAGGAGCATTTTTTTATTCCATCTGCTAAAGGTCTGCCCTCTCTCCTGGGTTTCTGGGAACTGATCTTCCTTCTCTCTCCTTTGGTGAATTGGTGGGAAAGTTCTCTGCAGCTCCCTGGGGTACAGTCACGTGAGCTTGTGTTCACTGTGTTCTTCCCTTTTTCTTTTTCTCCACCCCCACTCCTCTCCTTCCTACTCTCCTTCCCTTCCCTTCCCTCTTGGTTTCTGCTCTCCCTGGTGGTGGTGGTGTCGGTGCAGCTGAGGTGGCAGGCAGTAAGGCTGTCCCTGCACTACCAGAGAGTGGCCAGTCAGAGCCTGAGCCACCTGAAGTGGAAGGCGGAGCAAAGGCTACGGGTAATGAACCCCTCCTGGGAGCCAGAGACAGGCCAGGGCTGAGTGTGGGCCCAGAGGGTAGAGCCAGGCCCTGGGCATTGGAGCCCTGCCTGTGGGCCAAAGACAGGGACAGACCTTGTGCCATCCCCTTGTCCAGAGCTTCCCAGGCCTCTTGCAGAGCAGTAGGGTAAGCAGCTTGTGTTCAGTCAGGATGTGGGCAGGAAGCCTGGCCTAGCGCCCAGGCCCAGTGTCCTTAGCCTGATACATGAGCCACTTCTTCTCTTCACCAGCCACCTCCAGTGTCACTATGGAAATAGGCTTACGTGCCCTCCACAGTTCCTCGGTGTTCACCTATGCTTATTGCCCTGTCAGGGACCCTCTGCGTCCTTCCTCCAACAGCCTGACCCCTCTATGATGAGTTGAGGTATCCCCAGGATTGTGAAATATATGGCATCTAGGGCGGTGCTGAAGTTCAGCAGAGCTTGAGGTGGGGCAGAGTAAAGGAGGCTACTGCCCACGGCTTTCAAAAGTTCCTAAAGTCAGCCACCACCTCTGTACCCTTCCTTTAAGGAATGGGAGCCCCTCCCCCATTTCCCAAATGAAACACTTCTCCCTTAGCTTCCACCACTGGGCATCTTCCCCTGGTATGGGACACACTAAGCAAAACTGCCATCAGGAAGGCTCTCTGGAGGAGAGGGGGAGGGCTTTAGGAGCCCAGTAGGCAGCATGAGGCCAGCATGCTCTGAGCTCATCTGCAGGATGGCTTCCTCTGCCCAATCGGCCAGCACGGGGAACACCAAGGGAGCAGAAGATGGCTTACACTTCCTCTGCATTTGCCTCCTAATCTTCTTCTCTTGCCACGGGGACAGGGAACTGTTTTTATGTGAGCATGCCAGCAGGACCCCTGGACTCAAGCACCGACTCCTCAGGGGTACCCACAGACCTCTCGCAGCCTGACAGCCTCCCTGCCTGGCAGACAGAGCCTCAGCCTCAGCTGCAGGGAGGCAGTGGAGACCAAAGGCGCCCCAGCTGCTCTCCCCCCAGCCTGGCTTTCAGGGACATGGGCATAATCTTCCGAACCATTGAGCAACTCACCCTCAAGCTCAACAGACTCAAGGTGAGGGAAATGGGGCTCAGGTTCTCAAGGCAGTGGGTAAGCAGCCTGTGCTCAGTCATGGGGGGGCGGGCAGCCTGGCAGCAAAGTTCCTGAAGGGTTATGGACCAGTAATGTGTATCCCTGGGAGCCCTAGATCCTGGCCTGGCCCAGGGCTCTCCCCTCAGTCCACCCAGCCACCCTCGGGCACAGCCCCTTCCCCAGGGACCTTATGAGCGGGACATTCCCCTGCACTCTTCTAGGACATGGAGCTGGCCTACAGAGAGCTGCTCAGGTCCCTCGGGGGAGAGTCCTCTGGTGGCACCACGCCTGTGGGCAGTTTCCACACAGAAGCGGCTAGATGGATAGACAGCTCCCTGTCACCTCCAGTGAAGGAGCCCTCATCCTCTGACTCCAGGGACAGCCACGAACTGGAGCCCTGCCCTGAGGACAGTGAGTGAAGCTGACTTTCTCTTTGTACCAGCCCCGGGGGAGAAAGCCTCCGTGCAGGCAGTATGAGGAGAAAGGGGGTTCTGAGGGGGGTCTCGTTTCCCCGGGTACAGGTAATTCCCCCAATTCTGATGAGCTCGAGGACTTTCCAGGCAAAGCATAAGGGGGAGGGTCATCTCAGAGGCCAGTTCCTCAGTCATCACTGCATCTTCCACAGGAGCCAGCAACCCCCTGGAAGACAGGGCAGCAGACGCAGCCACATCCCCATTCCCAGGACTGTAACTGTCCACACCACCGGATCCTCTGCATCCCCACTCCTTGCTAGGGACTGGCCTGAGGCAGGGCGCACGGTGGGGCACCCCAGACCTCCTCCCGTGGTAGAGGCAGTTAGGAAACGGATCTGCCGAGGGACCTGCATGTTGCTTGGGAGTCCAGTTTCAGTGTCTCTTGTTAATCCTCACCCAAGGATATTTTTTTCCATTGATTTTAGAGAGTGAAAAGGGAGGAGAGGGGGAGAGGGGGAGAGAGAGACAGTGACGTGGGGCTGGGGGATCAAACCTGTGACCCAGGTACATGCCCTTAACTGGGAACCCACGACCCTTCTGTGCATGGGCCAGTGCTCTAACCACTGAGCCATGCAGGCCAGGGCCAGTTTTGGTGTCTTTTCCCCCTCCCTTCAGCCCACCACTCCAAGGCCTCAAGTCCCCTGGGTCTCCCATGCATGCCGACTGCATCTGAAAGACCCCCCGTCCCATGTACGCAGGTCCACTGGTACGCGTGGGTACCTCAGATATGTGAGCGGAAGGGGAAGGCTTCTGTGTAAATGCACTTTCTTCTTCCCTCCCTTTCTCCACAGGACCCCAAGGCTAAGGGGGGTGCCTCTACCTCTCCTCTGTCCTTGGTTTCCTATAAATATGTATGTATTGTATGTGCATCTTTGCTGTTGTAAATAACTTTGGCCTTTTTCGTTCCTGTCCCTGGAGTGCTGGAGGCAGCTATGGAAGCCACTGGCAAGGGAAGAGGGGGTTCACTTACATCTCCTCATTGTCACCCAGCTCCAGGAACAGGGCCTGAAGGTTGAGCCAGCCCTGGGTGTCCCTGTTCCAGATAAGCCCAACTAGCGCAGGAGCCGTTCTCTGTGGCTCAGGGCCAAGCTACTCCCTCCCCACCAGACTTCTCATCTTCAGGGGAACTTCTTATCCCACCAGTGTCCACCCTTCCCCACCCTCCCTCCCCCACCCTTTCCCTACAGAAAACCAGTGTATCAGGTACGGAGCTAAAAACTGGGTGGGCCCAGGAGGTAGGAGTAGGGTTTTAATGCTGGAGTCCTTAAATTCACCCAGGACCACTCCAGGAGCAACTGCAACATTGGCCCCTGTTACCATGTCCACTGCTCTCCCCACTGACTCATAGAATATACACACTGTGCTAGGTGTATATATACATATATATAAATATATATATAATATATAAAATATAGATATGGNGCATGTTGCTTGGGAGTCCAGTTTCAGTGTCTCTTGTTAATCCTCACCCAAGGATATTTTTTTCCATTGATTTTAGAGAGTGAAAAGGGAGGAGAGGGGGAGAGGGGGAGAGAGAGACAGTGACGTGGGGCTGGGGGATCAAACCTGTGACCCAGGTACATGCCCTTAACTGGGAACCCACGACCCTTCTGTGCATGGGCCAGTGCTCTAACCACTGAGCCATGCAGGCCAGGGCCAGTTTTGGTGTCTTTTCCCCCTCCCTTCAGCCCACCACTCCAAGGCCTCAAGTCCCCTGGGTCTCCCATGCATGCCGACTGCATCTGAAAGACCCCCCGTCCCATGTACGCAGGTCCACTGGTACGCGTGGGTACCTCAGATATGTGAGCGGAAGGGGAAGGCTTCTGTGTAAATGCACTTTCTTCTTCCCTCCCTTTCTCCACAGGACCCCAAGGCTAAGGGGGGTGCCTCTACCTCTCCTCTGTCCTTGGTTTCCTATAAATATGTATGTATTGTATGTGCATCTTTGCTGTTGTAAATAACTTTGGCCTTTTTCGTTCCTGTCCCTGGAGTGCTGGAGGCAGCTATGGAAGCCACTGGCAAGGGAAGAGGGGGTTCACTTACATCTCCTCATTGTCACCCAGCTCCAGGAACAGGGCCTGAAGGTTGAGCCAGCCCTGGGTGTCCCTGTTCCAGATAAGCCCAACTAGCGCAGGAGCCGTTCTCTGTGGCTCAGGGCCAAGCTACTCCCTCCCCACCAGACTTCTCATCTTCAGGGGAACTTCTTATCCCACCAGTGTCCACCCTTCCCCACCCTCCCTCCCCCACCCTTTCCCTACAGAAAACCAGTGTATCAGGTACGGAGCTAAAAACTGGGTGGGCCCAGGAGGTAGGAGTAGGGTTTTAATGCTGGAGTCCTTAAATTCACCCAGGACCACTCCAGGAGCAACTGCAACATTGGCCCCTGTTACCATGTCCACTGCTCTCCCCACTGACTCATAGAATATACACACTGTGCTAGGTGTATATATACATATATATAAATATATATATAATATATAAAATATAGATATGGAAATGACTGTTTTGCTGTTAAAATAATGTATACTCTTTTATTTTCTTCCTTTCATGGTTAAGATTTTTTTTTTTAAAGAAAAGTTAAATATTCTTCAACTGTAGTGGTGTGTGTGTGATTCTTGGAACTACTGTGATAAAAGATACTGTGGCCGTTCCCCATGAGACTGGTTACAATTGGATAGAGGGACAGAAGGGTGCCCCCCACCCCACCCCTGACATCCACTCCTCAGACCCAGGTCTTGCCATAGTCCCTCCCAAAACTCCAGATGTGTGCTCACTGAACTTCATTTGGGCAAACTAAATAATATAGCCCCATGGCCAAAACACAAAAAGATGCTTAAACCACTTAAAAACACACACACATACACAAGTATATACATAGGAGCAGTAGACCCTGAATCACGATACCCCATTCAGGGAAGGGTCATCTCAGTTGTCTAATCCTGTCTACACCCTCCTGCAGGCTCCAGCAGCCCCACACTAGCAACAACAGACCCAGCCACCGCCTCAGGGCTGTAACTATCCAAATCTCCACTATCTCTTTGCCTTCATTGTTGGACTTAGAGACAAATCCTCTTGCCCTCACATTCTCCCTCCTAATCCTGGCATAATGCTCAATGCAACCTTGTGAGCTGTGATCCAGCTGGGTGTGAGAATTAATACTCAAGTCATTGGTGGTAAAGTGTAGAGAGAAGAATGGAGGCAGAAAGGCTCACAGAAGCTTTACTTTAGAGGGACTTGGGCAGGACTAGCTGGAGAAGCGGAGGCGAAATCCTTACCAAGCACCTGTCCTGGGCGCAGTGTTGGGAATCTAAAGAGCTGATCAAGTTTTCCTCCAGAAGCTCAGCTGGCTGGCCCCAGAGGATGAGCAGGTGGTCAGAGGTGGAGAGAAGCCTGGGAGGGCCACCAAGCCTCACCAAGAGTTCTCGGCAGGGAGACCAGTTCTCTGTCGAGGCAACAGGATGAAGGGATATGGACCAGGTTAAATGTGCCCAGAGATGAAGAAGGGATACTTCTCTGGAAGCTCCCTGTAAAGTGGATCTTGGCTCCAGCCCTATGTGCTCTGGGCCTTGTTAGTAGGCCCTCTCAGGGGAGGCCACAAATGATGGGCCCCTGGTGCTCCTGACTCCTCTGGCCCCCACACCATCTGGTGTCCCTGGTTTAAGATTGCTAGAGGACATCTGTAGGCACATGTCCTCTAGGAAACACAGGAGACAGTGACTCTGGCCTGAGCAAGGGCCCCTGCAGAGCTGTGCAGTGATTCAGCCATTTCTGGCCATGTTACATGAACAGACTGAGTCCAAATGTTCCAAGTAGTTCCAGAGCAAAGTTTTTCAGACAATCTCAAGGAGAAAAAGGTACAGCAATGGACTTTGTTAAAGATCCGAGGTCTCCCCCAGGGAGGTCAGCCCACACATGGACAGGAGGTGCTTCTGTGGCCCAGAGTCTGGGGGGAGAAGGTGGGAGGGGCTAGTTGGAGGAGGCCTCCTCCTCTCTGGACTTGGTCTTACTGATGGGGTCCCTTGACTGCATCAGTTCCTGGATCATGATGTACACAGGACATTGCAGGGAGAAGCAGTTTTTCTGAAGGAGGAAAAGGAAGGCTGGCAGCTGACAAAGGGATGGAAATAAGTTCTCTGGGAGAAAAAGTTTCCTGGGACGGGCTGGGTTAGGGGCGGGGGAACATGAACAAAAGGCAGAGCGAGTGTGACGACGGCTAATCTTGCACCAAGACAGATGGAGGGTATGTTGTGATTAAAAAGAAGTTGGGAAACTACAGAAGCTGCGCAGGACAGTAAGGGGGACTCACCGCCAGAGACAGCCACAGCAGCCCTACAGGGCCCTTGGACGCGCTCTTGGACCTGGATAACTGTACCTGGTACCGCACAGCAGTGAGGAAGCCCTCCAGCCCCACCTCGGTGATGCGGTTTCCTGGTGCGAAGAGCCGACAAAGTGCCTCTTACACCACCATCCTCACGGGACACCGTCGACGGCCTCTCCACAACCAGCTTCCAGCTCACCAGCCCAAAACTAACTTGACCTGGCCCTTCACCCCAACTCTCCTTCACTTCTCTGACTCCTCCTCTGTCTGACTTCCCTGCGCCTTTTTATCCCCTCCCCCCCATTTATCTCTCTCACTCCCCTCATTACTCTTGAATTGCCCCACCCAGGACCTGACTTCCTCTCACTCAAAAGGGCCTCTGACATCATGGGAGAACCAGGTTCTGCTCTGTGGAGTCAGGGTGGGGGCACCATTGGGGCAGTATGGGGCCCAAGTAGCCTTGTGGCAGGAGGGCAGGGGTGGTTGGCACACATACGGAGAAGGTTGAGGTGCAATAGGACCTTGTTCCCAGGCATGAACACTTTCCCTCCTCGGTGTTCCACAGGCTCCAAGAGAGGGTTGACCATCTCAGTAGCTTCAGCAACCAGCTGCCAAAGCAAAATACTAATTGCAGCAGAGGAGAGGCTGGTCAACAGGCTGCTCAAACATTCATTTATTCAACATAAGTGCTTTCAGGGCTGGCTATAGTCCAGGCTTTGTCCTAGGTGCTAGGGATACAAAAATAAATAGGCCTATACCCTCAATAAGCAACTGGGGGCGGGGAAGGTAGAAAGTGAACTGGTAATACAGTATGAGTGATGAGTGTCAGAGGTAGGCTTAGGGTACTATAGGAGCATAGAGGAGGGACACCTAGCCCAGTCTCCCAGAGGAGGTGGCCTGTGAGCTGAAGTTTAAATGGCACGTGGTAGGTACCAGGTAAAGATGAGAGGAAAGGTGATCCAGGCAAAGAAACCAGGTGGTCAAAGGAAGGCCTGAAACAGTATGTTTTACTGCTTCCTAGGGCTAGAGCACCAAGGGCAATGATTGGAGGGATGGATGAAGGGAGTGCCACAGTTGTGAGAAGCAGCCTGGATCAAGACAGGACAATGTCTGTAGCTTTCTCTAGCTGGCTGTCCT